GCTAAAAAACAAGAAAAACAACTGCTTGGAGGGCAACTGCAAATCCCTTCCAGGTCTCTGGAGTCTGAGAGCACAGAAAAGCAATATATATGGACTAATTAACAGGACACAGGCTTGATTTTGTTTTAAACATAGGAAGTAGCTACCTAAAACTTCTGTTCAAGCACTCATCATTCCCTATAAAAGACGTGAACTCCACATAATAAAAAACAAAGGTGAAAAGCTGCTACACAAAAGTGAAGAGATATGAAGCCACTCCAAATCTGTGTCTGTACTGTACAAAAACAAAAAAAAAAAAAAAGGAGGAATTCTGGTCTCAGTTAAGAGAATGACAAAGTCCTGCTGACTTCCCCAAGGCCAGTCAGTGAGTTACCTGTGAGGGTGAGTTATCCTAGCTCTCAGGCTGTTGGATGGTCCAAGCAATTCCTTCCAGTGTGAGACTGCACAATGTCTAGCAAGAACCATAGCAACTAAAGGGCCAGAACTCATATAGGCTGTTAAATTAGGAAAAAACACTTTCCCAAATTGATCTGCATAGAAGTTGCTACATTGCTCTGGGCTTAACTGGAGCCTTCGTTTCTATAAAGTATAAAAGACAAAAAAAGGAATTAAAAAATCTTGGTATATTGAAAGAGCTTAGAGCATTAAAAGACCTCAGAGAGGATACAGTCCTCTGCTGCAGCCATATCTTCAAGTGTAGAACACAGAACAACTTCCAAGCCTAATCTGATTCTCCCAGATCTGATTCTCTTTGAGATACAGAGTAACAAAGAGCAAGACTTGTCCAACTTAATTAAGCAAACAGGCCATTTGAGTAAGATGTGATTTTAGCCCAGGCAAACTACAGCATTTTCTAACTGCTGGATGACAGTCAGGGTACTGTACAGAAAAAGTGAAGAGTGTTACAAGGGCAGGATTTCATTATTCAGCTGCTCAAGCACAATGTTCTACTTTTAAACAAGTTTCTCTCCAGCCCACACTGTTAATTATGCAATTGTTCTATTTTTCATTCAGTACTCATGCTTTGTCACTCTCCCAATACCTGCCTAGGCTGCAGGTGGCCAGGATCAGGACAACTCTGGGAGGTTATCAGAAAGCACAGGGCAGTCAAGAAAAAATTTTAAAGTGCATTCTTTGAGCTCAAACTTACACAACAGAAGAGTACCATAAATTCAGAGTCCTAATAATTTTGCTGTCAAAAGCCATTGGAGACATCAGAAGACCCCATTAACATATTAGAATTAATTAAATAAATAAATAAATAAAATCTAATTTGTTTCATCTTCTGATACATACCATATCAATAGAATCATGGAATGGTTTGGGTTGGAAGTGGCCTTAAAAATCATCTGGTTCCAACTTCTCTGCCATGGGCAGGGACACCTTCCACTAGCCCAGGTTGCTCCAAGCCCCGTCCAACCTGGCCTCGGACACTTCCAGGGATGGGGCAGCCACAGCTTCTCTGGGCAACCTGTGCCAGAGTTTCACGACCCTCACAGGGAAAAATTTCCTCCCATCATCCCATCTTTCAGTGTGAAGCCATTCCCCCTTGTCCTGTACCTCCATCCCCTGTCCCCAGTCCCTCTCCAGCTCTCCTGGAGCCCCTTTAGGCTCTGGAAGGGTCTCTAAGGTCCCCCCTGGCTGAACACCCCCAGCTCTCTCAGTCTGTCTGCAAAGCAGAGACGCCCCAGCCCACGGAGCATCTTCGTGACTTCCTCTGGAGTGCCTCCAACAGGTCCATAAATAAATAAATGCAAATAATGAACACAAATAAATAAAAGAACCAGAAAGGTACCAAAAAAACCCCACCCGAAACAAGGGGGGGGGCGGAGCCCCCGCCGCCCTCAGGCGCGAGCGCACAGCGCCCCCCAGCGGCCAACCTGCCAGGGTCATTTACATATTCATAAACTATATTTAAATAATCGTGAAGCCAATTTACTCTAAAAACAGCGGAAACCAAAAAGCCAGACTGCAACTGGCCGGCTATCGAATTCAATTAATTTCTACTTTCCCCCTGCATGCTGCACAAAACCTCCTGAGACCAGAACGATGTGCTCTCCAAAGAGTTACTTCAGAGAGTCCACACATCTGCTCCAGGCATTTGCTAAATCTTTTATTAACCAAGTCAGTGTTTTCCTGTGGTCAGCAAAACAGTTGGTCTGCTCTGTTTCATCCCATGCACCAAAAAAAGGTCTCCTTACAGAATCTGGCAGCAATGCTTGATGACATGAAAAATATAAATTGATTTTTGGACACACAAGCCTTTAGTTACTGGCTTGATTGCTGAAAGTTAAAATAAATATCGTCCTGACTTATAAGCTGTAGTTGTTTTCTCTGGAGCACAGCCTGTTACCTGAATGATCGTGAATCCTGATCGGAGAATGATATCCTCTATTTCTTCTTCTTTATGAATGACATCAGGTTTGATGATAGCCAGAGTCTTTTCCACATAAATCTGAGGTTCAGGCATTAACACCTCCATCTTGGCTTCTAAATCAGAATTCACGTGGCCCTTTTGTCCTGCAATGACACCATGACATTTGGAGTTTGTCTACTGCACAGTCCCCTGCGGTGACATCCACCATGTACTCCGGGAACAGACAGGGACACCCCCACCTCACAAAATCCATAAGATGTTCTCTGGACTGGTCAGCACCCTGCGGTTCACATTCCCATTTTCAGTGCAGCAGCATTTTGTGGAAAACAAGGAAAAGATTTAATGTTGTTCTTCACTAACTCGGACAGCGTATGAGGAAAGAGAAGCATTATCACACACCTTGCTGAGTGCAGGAGCGAGCCAGGCTCGCGGGCTCACTGCATTCCCACACCCTCCCTCCATCCACCAACCCTGGGCTCCTCCAAACCCCAAATCTGTATTCGCATGCATGAAGACTGGGGAGCTGGTCCATCTCTGAGCCTCAGGGTATTTCTCAATCGTTATTTAATTGCTGTATTTATGGGCTCAAGACAAAGTGCCAGTTTTCTCACTGAGTGGATGCATTGGCAAGCCCAGAGCACAGAACTGTGTTGGGAATGGGGGAACTATTTTCAGGGTTTCCTACAGACTTGTGACCACTTGTGACCTTCTTCTCATCAAGAATGGTATGGGTGGGAAGGGACCTTAAAGATCATCTCGTTCCACCCCCTGCCATGGGCAGGGACACCTTCCACTAGCCCAGGTTGCTCCAAGCCCCATCCAACATGGCCTTGGACACTTCCAGGGATGGGGCAGCCACAGCTTCTCTGGGCAACCTGTGCCAGAGTTTCACAACCCTCACAGGGAAAAATTTCCTCCCATCATCCCATCTTTCAGTGTGAAGCCATTCCCCCTTGTCCTGTACCTCCATCCCCTGTCCCCAGTCCCT